TTCCCTTCTCTGTGACCCGAATCCAGATGACCCACTTGTTCCTGATATAGCGCGAATGTTCAAAACGGACAAAACCAAATATAACGATTTAGCAAAGGAATGGACAAGGAAGTATGCAATGTGAATTCCTCGCTGTCGGAGGAAGATCATATCCCTGAATTGCAGAGCACAGCTGTTTGAAACAGACTGTGATCGAAGTAAATCTTCTTATGTCACAGGCCTTATTGACATTGTCGCAAACAGAACTGTTCTGTGCATTAGTTCTGATAGAGGATAACAAATGCCACAGATGGTCTGTTTAAAGTGGCCTGATAATGTATAACTTCAGACATACTAAATTTCTACATGCAATGGCCTGTTTTGGTATTGTACCTTTCAGTAACATGTCACTGTTCAAATTAAGAGGATTGGAAAATTTCTCTAACACTTTAAATCACTTAAAACATTTGTATTATTCAATATGACCAAGTGTTAGGCTGTTTGAGACTGTAATTTATTGTATGTTTTATCTTTGTGTGAATTAAAAACTATTGTGATTAAACTTATTTGATTAATTGAGAGTTGGGGAATTTTTTGCTGGGAAATAACAGTGATCTTGACAGGAAGCCTTGCATACTGTCACAAGCAAGGGGAATAAGCCACTGCTTCTCTCCATCGGTGTCAGTATGGATACTGTCCATTCTATTTGGTACCGTTTCTGTGTAACCATGTATGATTAGTATTTAGTTTCATCATCTAATCTGCACTCTACTGTAATTGTAATGGTCGCCTTTACTGTACACAGACAATATGTTCTTTAAACTGCATACCTCGTCTCTTCATTTTGCATTTGAATTCAATTGGTATTTATTTTACATTTCTCAAGAATGGTTAAAGTCGGAATAAGATAAAAAAAATCAGTTAATACTCGTCCTCATTTTAAAATAAGAACAACATCTCCTGTAGTTGAGGTCACAGTCACCAGCTGTCCATTCTAAGGTTGAAGTGCTCTTGGAATGATCATGTAGATTTCTTACCATTTCTGCAGGATAATACACATTGTTAGTTTGGAAACAATAATGTGTGCGTAGATCCTTAACCATACCTGATCCTTCTGACATGGAACTTCATGGTTGTCACAAGTCTGCAAAAATGTTCTGGTACCGTGTTGCCATCTACCTGATGGTAAAAGTGATAGCCCACAAGGAACTGTGACCAGGTCTTCCTGCTTTATTGGAGTAGTGGGATTTAAATATGTACATTTTGAATCCTTATCAATGAAATAATGGGCTATAACTGTAACTCTACTGATTTTGAGTATGGTTAGGGGCGGTCGGGTAGCCTAGTTGTTAAAGAGTTCGCTCGTCACGCTGAAGACCTGGGTTCGATTCCCGACATGGGTACAATGTGTGAGGCCCATTTCTGGTGTCCCCCGCCGTGATATTGCTGGAATATTGCTAAAAGCCGCTAAAACCATACTCACTCACTTATTTGAGTATGGTTAAACCCTGGACATCTCATCTTGTCATCAGCATAATAGTACCAGCAAACACACGCCACAAACTCACTTGCTAAATTGAATCAATATTGATCCAACTTTGTCGCTTTACCAAACATCAACCTCTGCTGAATATATGTGCAGAATGGGCAGGAGGCATGAAATCTTATCTGATAACTGGAAGGTATTGATCATAGGAGTTACAATGCTTTTCAGTATTGAAATTGCTTCAAATTTGATTGGAGAGGAAACTGTCTGATAAGGCCAATGTTTTTATGTCAATTACTAGCACAGCAGCTATAGGAGGTAATCTGAAATACTAATCTTCATATCCCCAACATTAGCCCTCATTTTACTGTATATGAACTTGAAATACTGGTAGTCATTTGTCTTTTACAATACTAGTTTCTGAACAGTCATATGATAGTAAGTTTGGAAGCTTTTCAGTTGGATGTTGTTTATTGAATGTCTCTTGTCATCCTTCAGAAATAATACTGATGGATAGGATGTCAATTTAACTCTGATCCGAAGGTTCATGAGAGCTGATGTCATGGCATGTTGTCAGTCGGTCTGTTGTAAATCTGACATCTCTGAAAAATCCTTCAAAGTTGATACTAGTAGTGGTGTAAAAATGTTGCTCATATAAACTGGTTTAAACTCTCCTAGCATTTCTTTGACATCTCTCTAGTCACTGTGTTTCTAATCTGACTTCGGTGTACATAGATATCCCCAGGTTTGAAAAATAGGGGGATAAAACGATCACCATGTCCAGAGCTGAACTCCAAACCCAATAAATATTTCTTGTTGCAACTTTCTTCATATAGATCAGTCTGGTTGGGATCTAGTGCCTCTTTATTTTGGCATTTTAAATATACTGCATTGTTTTTTTCTTCAATGAACTAACGATATCCAATGGCCATTAACCAAAAGTGGGATAGAAGTAGCCAAACTCAATTTCTGATTTGCACCAGACAAAGGGGATGTGTCACCTCATGATTCTTTTTTGTAGTGTCTGTATATGTTCACAGAAACCTGATCTAAGTTTAAACATGGCTGCCCTGCAGCCATATTGAATATACCGTATTCAACGTAATAAGCGCCCACGGCGATATTTGCTGAGATATAGGCAAGTAAACAATCCTAATTTGCACCCCTTCCGATTGATCAATGTACACAAGACTTATTTATTTGCGTATAATACAACTCGTGTGTTATATGCACCCTTACATGTAGTTATGAGCAATTAAATTCTGGAAAAATATATCTGTCATACATTAACATTTCAGGCTGTCACCATAAACCACGAAATATATCTTTCAACTTTTTTTCACCAAAATAATATTCTAATAAGAACCCCCTGTTTCTAATTTTGAGAGCGCCCTGGGCCCTTATTAAGTTGAATACGGTAACCAGTATTCTATCATTTGGACTGTCCAGAGAAGCTACAGGTGAAGTTATCCAGAGAAAAAACATTACAAAGCACATTTTCGACACAAAAGGTTCAGATCAAGTTCAATTTGTAGATTTTTCAACTTATGAATAATTACAATAACCAACAAAAACAAACAGAATAAAGTTGGTCAATCTTATTAGCCACATTACATTTCTGAAAGATATTGATGTTTATAACCACTTTATTGTTTTAGACTGGTCAAGAAAAATTGAACATGTCAACAATACCTATACAGCAAAGGCATTGAACTTTGAAAATATCCGACAAATTCCAAGTTCATTCCAAAAGGGTTGAAGGTCACAGCAATTTCTTTGCGTTCTTCATAGAGAATATATATATATATTGCTGTGATAAAATGGACATATGGAACTGGTGCTACTGTTTAAACTTGTGACATGCAATTGTATTTATATGTAGCTCAAATCTTGCAAGTAAATATTGCATTGCACATTCAGTGTAAATGTTTGTTGAATAAAATGGATTACAACCAATGAAAAGGGAATCACAGCAGTTATTTTGACACATTTGTTCCACATATATAGTAAATATTAACTGAATAAAAGGCAATATTAGGTTTGACTTTTGGTAAAAGCGTAATGTAACTAAGACAGTTGACCTATTATGTCCTTGTCACAAAGTTAATTGTTTTGTGTGCATTGGAACTCAGCATTTGTTTCTGATAGGAATGTTGACCATTGTCCTACTGCGCCCCTTTCACGACGACCACGAATATCCTGAATCACCCCAAATCGGAAACTTTCAAAATTCATGATGATTCGGCCAATAATGCAAACTTTTGTGGCTAATTGGGTTGAAAAATAAGAAGAATGTCAGGAATGGGTTAAGAAACATGTACGAATTACATGTACGGATCATGCACGAATTGTAAGAATAACCTACGACTGAGTTACGAATATGCCGTATGTTGTTCTTACTTAATTCTTACATGATTCGTAGTTGACTCGGGACATTCGTGGCTGTTTCAGGGTGTTTTCGGGTTGAGGACAAGACATTTTGGGAGCCACTAATCGCTAAGAATAGCCAAGAATGACTAAGAAAAACTTTCTCGCAGATTCGACAAACTCCCGCAAACTGTATGGATGTTAGGGAATCAAATAAGAATCATTTAAGAACTTCAAGAAATGATTGAGATTTATCTATGAACTTTCCTGTTCGGGGTGCTTCGGGATATTTGTGGTCATAGTGAAATGGTAAGACTAAAGAAATGAAATGTGTTCTTTATTCTGGAGATACTGCTCCTGGAATTGCATGGCTTTTATTCATTATTTGGTCTTGGCGCATCACCATTGTTGTCTGCTATTTGAATGAATTTGATCATTGAAGCTGAACTTTTTTTCTTTTTTGGATGAAGCTGGTTGACCTTGAGTGTATATTTATGTGGTCAGGTTTGCTGAATGCCTTTCTGATTTTTTTGCGTGTGTAAAACTGGGCAACTGCTTGTATGTTTTTTCAACATAATTACTTGTAGGAACTTGCCAGTGAAAGGTTTTAAGCTGATAATTAACAATACAAATAGTAGGCTTTAAACATTTTACCCATATTCAAACCAAATGAATTGACTTAATTGCAAACAACACTTCAGCAAGTACACTCTCAGCTCTAGACACTCAACTTTTTGCAAATTAATATTTTGATGATGGTGGGTAACATGAATTTTCATCCTTTTAAAAAAGCAATCGATCTTTGATATAATGACATTGATGCTGACAACTGCCCAAAGTAGATTCTTAACCTGTTATATACATTCAGATGAGCTGAAGTGCAGTGTCATTTTCATTTTCGAAACTTAATCCGAAAAGGAGCAGGCAGGCAGGCAATATAAACAGTCATCTCCCTTATGTTCATACTCCCATGGCTTTTGACTCGGGAAACAAAATCTTGTACAAAATGTCGCCAAAATGAACTTTCTTTAATTCACAACCAATGCCTTTTCAGTCACCTTATCTTTTGGGAATTGCTCTTTTGGAAGTTTACATGAATACTTATCATTGCAAGTTCTCACATTTCAACACGTTTCTTTAGCACTAAAGCCTATTTTCTTCGTTCCAGTGCTTTTATCTATCTGTTCCCTTCTCTGTGACCCGAACCCAGATGACCCACTTGTTCCAGAAATAGCACGAATGTTCAAATCAGACCCTGGCAAGTATGTTTCAACGGCAAGGGAATGGACGAAGAAGTATGCCATGTGATAGGCGGTTATGGAGAGGACACGATTTACCAAAACGACTGCATCTGCAGTAGGAGTAAAATGTCACCAGTCATGGACATTTTGTAGCATTGTGAATGTTTGGAGTAAACCTCTCTAGGACGTTAGCTAAAATGGGAATATCCTTGTCATGACATTTTCACCCCACTCCTTCCCAGAGAGGCTTATTCTGAGTGAGAACTCTTCCATTTTGTTGGTCATTTGTTTCATAGTATCCATTTATCAATGGTATTTGTGATAATGGAAAAAATTCTTCAACTTTGAATTAAATTTGCAAACAAATGATCACACCAATGTTACATTTCTTTGAAATATTAGCATGTTTATTCCTGGCTAAAAAGGTGAATATCCCTCGAAATTTAATGTTATGTGTGTATTAAGTAATTCTGCTGGCAAGTGAAAGTGCTATTGATCAAGGCTATAGTGCTATGATGAAGAACCTATATTATCAGTCAGGTGGCCTGTTGGGATGCACATTTTGATTGCTTGTGTATTATTAGTCAGTGTCATGTCAAAATTATCATAATTGTTAACCTGAGTTTCTACTGTGTTCTTTGCGCACCGATCATACTCTAAATGTTTTTTACATTAATTTTAGAAATAAATTTGCAGTATCTTTTGGCACAGTTATTAACTATCATCTGGAACCCTTCTGATCCAAGATTTCAAAGGGCATTGGCGCCAACTTTGTGTCTATCTGATGCTACAGGATAGAATTTGAACGTAATTACTGTCACTCAGAAAGACTAGTCAAGAGAGAAAGGAAACAAATTATTAAGAAAAATCAGATGTTAGGGAGCAGATAGCATGATCAGTTGGTTGTTTGGATTCAGGTGTGGTTATGGCTATAGAGTTTGAACTTCGTATTACCAGCTGTGATGAGATAGACCTGATACATACGTCTGAAAAGGAATGGTTGATAGGTTAAGGATGGCTATTTAAAAAAGTCATATTAAAGTAGCTGCAATCAGTTATATACTGTACAGCTGTCTGTAACCATTTTAACAGGTTTAACTTTGAAACTGCATTTTAATGACAGGGATGTAATGTATATTAGCTCACCTGAACTTAGTTCCTGTGAATGTATGTCATGGCCTGTTTGTCGTTTGTCATCTTCGTTAGGAAGCTGAATGCATGTTCCTGCCAATATGACATAAACGTTTGTTATTAATATTCATTTACAGGTAGAATAGGTCTTCAGCAAGCCATGCTTACCGTAAAACGCGACTATGCTTGTCGTAAGAGGCGACTAATGGGATCAGGTGGTCAGGCTCGCTGACTTGGTTGATGCATGTCATCGTATCCCAAATGCGTGGATTGATGCTCATGTTAATCACTGGATTGTCTGGTCCAGCCTTGATTATTTACCGACCACCATCATATAGCTGGAATATTGCTGATTGTGGCATTAAAGAACATATATAGGGTCGTTTTTAAAAAATGAAAATTGATTAATATTTATGGAATATATAACTTGATAGATCCCCTGGAAGCACTTGAGAGATGAAGCTAAAATGTGGCAATAACTCACCAGGTAATCAGTTCAAATTTTGATCAATTGGGTCAGGAGAAATTAGGTTTTTTTTAGTTTTAGTTTCATGGCTTTGTAAATGACACTAGATGGAAAATTAGTGTTTACAAAATTGTGATAATTTATCCAGTCTTTTTGTCAAGAAATAAAAAATATCTTGGTATTTTTACAAAAACCCAACAGTGTTTAATCTTGTGTGAAAGGACACAAGACTATTACGCATGATTTATAAACACATGTGGATGAGTGAATAGAGTATTGCAGTTGTGTACCTGACTTTGAATGTTCATACTGTCCTGGGAAAACACCTGGTTTCTTTGTGATTAGATTTATAGATATCTGGTTGAGCTACAGTACCATGACAGGTGCTTTTATGATTGAATCAAGGCATCATAATAAGCATTATTGCAAATTCTCATCTTTCTTCTCATCATCAGCCAAACTTATTTTTTTAATTTTTATTGAATCTTGAAATCAATTGATAATTATCCTTTGGAATTCTATTTGCGATATTTTACTTGTGTGTTTTTCAGAGAAATGTCAAGTGAAAATATAGACAGGTGAGCTACAGGTCCTTGGCACTGTTTTTCTTATTGTGCCTTTGAAACAGTACTCCTTAATCTAAACAGCTACGATACTAAATAGCCCACAGTACCTTATGAAATTCGTTAAATGTTGAATCACATTAAGTTCGCAAATTATTTTAATTGAAATAGTTTAATTGGCTGAGAACATGTTTCTAGAATCAGAACCAACTAATCCAGTTATCAGATACCTAATATCAGCGTTAGAAATTGGCACTAGTCCTGTAGTCCTTGCCAAACTGCCCAATAGTTAAGGTATCATAAGGACTTGTAGAAATTTGCCATTTTTAAAGGTTTTGCTATATGTTATCATTATAAGGACTAGTGGACTAAATATGTTAGTTTCTACCCCTGAATATGTGACTAGAATCTGAAAAATTATTATTCCAAATTGACGCAATGATTCTAAGTTCCTCTTATGATAAGCATTTTTGTGAATGTCCCCAGTTTTCAGTCAAGCTTGGCAAAATGGTTACTGACATGCCATCCTTTCTTTGCGTGTCGCCACCACATTTAATTCAGTGTGGTAAGGGTAATGATATGCTCCTGGTTGGAATGAAATGTGCCGAACCAGGACCCATGTTGATGTGTTAAGGTAAGAGCCACCCTGATAAATCCATTTGGCCATATGTACAGTGGGGGGTCTTGTGTATGAAAACGTTTATATTGCAATAAAAGTGTAAATTTCTTTTATGTCTTTTTGTCTTGATTTGAAATTCCATACGTTTCCCGTGTATTTTGTTCATGCTTCTGTTCTTATTGTTGTATGAGTTGATGCTTAGAAAGGTAATAATTTTTATCAAATCTTATGTAAGAGGTTGAATTTTAGAAAAGGTGTAAGTTCCGGTTTTTTTGCAGTTATTGTATGTTGTGTTATTGCAAAATATTCTGAGTTTCTCTGTGACCTTCAAATCACATGTAAGATTGATCTGCAAGGATAGAACACTAACGTATAAACACTGTCAATTGGAAAGCTGAAAAGAAAATGTCACTGGTTCTACAAAGCTGTGGCAGTTAGCTCTCATACTGTGTTGGAGATGTTTCAGTTGGAGATATTTGTCAAGAGTTCATTTGGAAGGGAGGTAACTCTAACAGGGAGCAGAATAGGAAAGTGGATTTTGAAATAGCCTAACCCTTGAAAAAGAACACCTTATTGACAAAAGAGATGATCGCTTAAGAAATTCTAGTAGATATGAATATTATTTTAATTGCAGGTTAGGCAAGATATTAAGCATAAGCCCCACACTACAATGTTACTCATTATATACCAGTACAATTGCAGCCTGGATTTCATGTTTCTCTGTTTGGTTTGGGAATGATAACCCAACGACTTAGGTCTGGTTCCATAACCATCCAAACTGCTCATTATTAAGTAGATCAAACACCACACACCCAGACATGTGTTGAGCTTGAGTGCTTGGCAACTCCTGACAAAAGTTATTCAAAAGTCCAAGTGTCACAGGACTGGATATATTTGTTTTAAAGATGAATTTAACTTCTAACGATGGAAGTTGGCTATAGAAGGTTCCTCATTATAAGTGCAGTTTGTATGTTTGTAGCTGACCAGTTCATTGAATACCATCAAATGATAAAAACTCATAGCCTACCAAATCATTCAATACCATCAAGTAGTAAAAACTCATAGCCTACCAAATCATTCAATACCATCAAATGGTAAAAACTCATAGCCTACCAAATCATTCAATACCATCAAATGGCAAAAACTCATAGCCTACCAAATCATTCAATACCATCAAATGATAAAAGCTCATAGCCAACCAAATCATTCAATACCATCAAATGGTAAAATCTCATAGCTAACCACATCATATGGTAAAAACTCATAGCTAACCAATTCATTCAATACAATCAAATGGTAAAAACCTCACAGCTTACCAATCTTTTCAATGCCATCAAATGGTACAAAGTCATACCAATTCATTCAATACAATTAAATGGTACAAAATCATTGTTTACCAATTCATTCCATTCAATTTAATCAAATGGTACAAAATTGTACAAATCTCAATCTGGTTTCTGGACAATGACACAAACAATTGGTAGATTTGTCATAGAATGGTGTGATGTTAGCAGCCAGTTGAGTCACTTACACAGGTGATGGACATCACTCGCAGGATTTGTGCTTCATCTGCTAAGAGGCTGGTATCCAGATGATGATTGCTGCAACAGCTGGATGCCATACCAGGAGCATGACAAGTCACAAGATTCTCCAGAGCCCTGATACAGGATCTGCAGCTGAGGAGGAAATAATAAATAGTGTTCGCCATTTTATTTTCAGATTGACTGTAAACATGACAAAACAAAATACAGAAGAAAAAACTGTTAATGCAGACTGTTGTGTCCAATGCGTTTGTCTGTATGTGTCCTGAACTATGTGTGGATAATGCAGTTGTACATTGCACTTGTCTGGAAGATTTCACTGTGCTTGTTGATTCTTTTAAATGGTTATAAGGTACACCGCCACTCCCTTTGAAACATACTTTCCACATTAATTCTAAGACAAAATGTTTCCAAGATTATTCTTTTGCATTCATCCAGCATTTACTTTATGGTAAGTGCACCACCTTTTTTCCAAAAGTTTTGCACCGCTTGAGAAGCAATCGCTCGACTTTGGCTGTGTTGTCCACTGTTGCTGTATTCAACTCATGAGTGAGTATGGTTTTACACCGCTTTTAGCAATATTCCAGCAATATCATGGCGGAGAACACCAGAAATGGGCTTCACACATTGTACCCATGTCGGGAATCGAACCCGGGTCTTCGGTGTGACGAGCGAACGCTTTAACCACTAGGCTACCCGACTGCCCCATTCAACTCATGACCTTGAGGGTATAGAAGGCAACTGCATACACTCTGATCTATGTTTCAGGGGCAAGGGTGTTAACATAGTCATAGAAGGGACATAACTCGTAATAGACACTGGTGGTGCTACCATAGAGCCCAGCAGTCCCAGCCTAGTTCTGCATTGGTGGAAACTGGACTTTAAGTCTGTTCCCTTGCCTCGGGAAGATGGTAACTTTATTTCACAGGCGTGTTTCATATCAATACTGAAGAATAAGACTGGTGAACCTTTCCAATGTTTGACACTAAAAACACAATTATTCCTCAGAATAGAAAAACACAAAATTTAGGAAAACACATTGCACCACCATGCAGGAAATCACTTTCTAAAATGAGAATGTAAGTAAAAGCAACAAATTGTATTCCATAAACGTAATAAATTGTATTCGATTGTACGATTCCGGCTATGTCATGAACATGTGTTTATGAATCACTGTCAAATATTGGTGATACCAGAAGAGGTGCCCAACCGGTGGCAACGTCACAAACACATACAAAGGCAAATCAATTGTTCACACGAAAACACGTGAACATATGGGACACGTCAAAAAAGGAAATTCCATCGGACATAATTTTTTGCACCAATGCGTCAAACTTGGAAATGTGACATGTCTCAAAAAAACGATTGAGGAGGGCTTCCTGCAAGGCAAAAATCAAATTAGAGACCTGTAAAAGCATTCTCGTTTGACCAGATATTGATAAACATATACTGTAATCGTCTTAGCGCCTCGCGTAACGCCGAAGACCCGGGTTCGATTCCCAACATGGGTACAATGTGTGAAGCCCATTTCTGGTGCCCCCCGCCGTGATATTGCTGGAATATTGCTAAAAGTGGCGGAATACAGAACTCACACACTCACTCTTGGCGCCTTGAGCTGTATACACATTATTTGCTGATAGTATCTATCGATGTCTGCCACACTAACGTCGTCATTCGAGACAGCATTAACAACCTCAGTTATGCATCGCCAATACCAATATTAGAATAAAAGCGACCAGACAAGTCGTCAGTACTGGGTGATTTAACTACTTCCCAAGCCATTACTAGTCTCAAAAGTACCCAAATCGTTTAAAACTGTTACAAATGAGAAAACAAATGAAAGGGCCATCACAGCCGAAGCCGAGTTGTGGAGAACTCGATTCTTTCCTGATTGCCGGGTGATCTACAGACCGTTTATTCCAGGGATTCCGATCATATGGACCACACGGCAACGGATGAAGTCACAGAAACTATTCCATCAGGCCGTAGGATGATTGGTAAGTTGACCCACAGCCTGTGCAATGGTAACCTGTGCTGCATTATGATTACTCCGACTGATGCAGTAGATATACCGTAATCGACATAATTATCACCCCGGTCCTTAACCAAGTCTAAATTGAGGTGAAATGAATCAACGTCGTGTCCAAGATTATTGCACTTGTATAGCGACGTGTGTGTGTATGTCTATGTTTGTTGTTTAGCGACTAACGGAATCGGTAGGTCAGGCTCGCTGTCTTGGTTGATGCATGTCATCGTATCCCGCTTGCTTGGATCGATGCTCATGATGTCAATCATTGGATTGTCTGGTCCAGACTCGATTATTTACAGATCGCCGTCATATAGCTGGAATATTACTGAGTGTAGCTTTCAACAAACAAACAAAAATATACAACGTGGCAGTACGAACACAATATCTTTAAATGTACATACAAACTGAACTTAGGAACCACGCAACATCCTGATCACCAGAAGAAAACATCCAATGTCAGTTCTAACCAAGGAAAACAATTAAGAAAATAGATAAAATAAGGCAGCCCAGGTTGGTTTTATGAGATTGACACACTAGACCAGGTATCGATATGAATATGAGCATAGAACATGAACTGACAACAGTGCTAGACATCTCCATTATAACGAATAGCTCTATAAATCCTTCTTTCAGGACGGGTTATAGAGAAAGACTGGGTGTATGGCTACTGGTAGTTATATCACGGCGGCCTGTAAATAGTATCTGAATCCACGAGCAACGATCCACGTCACTATAGGATACGATGATATACAAAGAGCGACGTCACTGAGTTTGACCATTCCGTCGTTATTTTAGTCTGTTCAGGAATACGTTTAATTCATGATCAATTCTATAGCGCTGAATCCTAACGGGAGAGTAAACAAACAAGACTGTGCTACTGAGATACCAATACGCATTTTCATTTCGGACACGAATTTAATTTAATTAATTTTATTTAATGTTTTTGTTTATTTGTTGTTCAACGCCGCACTCATAGTCCAGCAATATTCCAGCTAAATGGCGGCGGTCTGTAAATAATCGAGTATGGACCAAACAATCCAGTGATTGACATCATGAGCATCGATCTACGCAGTTGGTATACGATGACATGCCTCAACCAAGTCAGAGCCTGATCACTTGATCCCGTTAGTCACCTCTTACGTCAAGCGTAGTCGCTTTTTACGGCAAGAATGGGTTGCTGAAGACCTATTCTACCATAATTTACATACGCTGGGGATGACTGTGGTTACACTTATTTTACTCTTCTGTCTTTTCTTGTTTAACTTAGGGGCGGAAGGGTAGCCTAGTGGTTAAAGCGTTTGCTCGTCACGTCGAAGACCCGGGTTCGATTCTCGACATGGGTACAATGTGTGAAGCCCATTTCTAGTGTCCCCCACCGTAATATTGCTGGAATATTGCTAAAAGCGGCGTAAGACCATACTCACTCAATAATACGCTGTTGAGTAGTATGATTAGGGGTCATCGTGTTTGTATCAGAGGTTCCATTCTAGGCTAATATTTTGGGGTGGAGTAGCCAAGTGGTTAAAGCATTTGCACAT